TGCATCGACCCACTGAGCGATCTCTCCAGGTGCTCCGAACTGAGGTGCTTCGCATTCTGCAAAGGCGCAAAAGTAACATATAACAGAAACAAAAGGGAAATTTTGCGGAAGAATGTTTGACCTACTTGCTCTACTGGCGACATTGAAGTGATTAAGATATTCGCCATAGGCATCGGTCAAAGGACGTACAGATAACAAGCATTTCTCTAACTGAAAGTAAAGTGTACAGATCTTGAACAAAGTACATATAGCGATTGGAGCAGTGAATAGAGGACTGTTTAAATGGTCAAAAGCAAGTGAGCATAGCGACTATGAGTTGCAGCATTTCAAGGTCGGCAAACCTTCAAAAAACCTACAGATTCCTCTAAATAGAGTCTTCATGTTTACAGAAAATAATTAGCAGTTTGCTCTGAGCTTACCGGAATAGTTTTCGACATTGCTGAATGGAACGATGCTGTTTCCATAGATGGTACTTCACTTGCTGTCTGAGTACTTGTCTTTCGTGATGGCGCAAAATATTGCCGTAACTCTTCCCGGAAAAGCCTGCAAAGTTATTTAAGTCTATATACTTCACAGAGTGACCTCAGTAAAAATTTGACTCACTTTTTCTCGGGATATACTATATTCTGAAATACGCCCGGCTGTCCACCAGGCGTCTGGTTCATTGAATGTACACACAATTTTTGATCCAAGTGAATTAAAAAGTACTGACCCCTAAAATGGAAAGATGATGCCTAACACATTTATCATCAGAGCGGGTATCCGAAATGAAAGAACCCACAGTGGATCGTCTTTGGTTATAAAAGCTGTATCTCCATAGCAAGCACAGCTCCATACCGTCGTAGTTGCATCCCATAAGAAATGGAGACGTTTCGTTTCTTTGTCATGCTTTTGAATGAACGCCTGTCTCATCTGATCTAACTGGCCAGACGAAGTTGGATGTGGCAGCTGAAGAATATTAAAGTCGGATCGAACCCCGATTTTGCAAAATAATACCGTCGAATTTGGTTTGGCGAAAATACTGTGGAATGAAAAAGGTACTCGGCTGCAGAGTCTGTGGGAAATGTGGGGAAATTCATTATTTCAGAATATAAACAGGTCTTTGCAATAAACCAAGGAAGAAGAGGTTCAAATCAAAAATTCGCTCCCTTACCCCTTTATGAACGTTGACACTGCATTGGCAAGGGCCACTGCCTCAAGTCTCAATGAAATAAAAACCACTTTCCACTAGCTTTGCCTATTTTGCGAGGAGAAAGTTATGTAAGTCTGATAAAGCTGACCTCAACATCAAGCGAGACTCCAGAAATACTCGCGCGTGCACATTCAATCCAAGTGGGACTGTCAGCTGGGTGGAACACTGGAAAAGATACAAATTGCTTCAAGGTTCTCTTAGGCTCCCAGAAACAGGAAGCTCTCTGGAAAAATTCATACATTGGAGAGCCTTCACTTGCGGTATTCGAACACAGATGTGCTCAGTGAATCTCTTCTCATGGGCATTGCAAAGGGTGAACCGGATCGGGTCAACAGTGAGCTAAAAAACATCATTTTTAGCAGCGACTTTACCGTCAGATTGTGCTAAGAACGCATTAACACCAGTTGAGCCTCTATTATGACTCACCGTGATAACATTGCTCTCATCGGTTAAAGCCAGCTGCACACCATCTACAGAAATCCGCATCTGACGATACTTCAACCTGAAATATTCCATCTTTCATAGGGGAGTGCAAGCTCCTTTTTAGAACCGTTATGCGCAAATATCACATACCTTTCTTCCGACTCGCATGGACGACCAGGCTGGGATCCTACTGAGCACACTGTACTTGTTTGCCCATGCTGACAAAACTTGAACCTGTCTGGGACGATTTTTGCGTCATCCTTCGCAATGACAAGTAACAGCAATGTATCCAGAAAGTTCACCAATGTGATAATCTGAAAAACTTATTCGGTAGCAGATATCGCAAAACAAATCACATTCATCCATGGTCACAATGCTGTAAATAATAGGCAAGGCAAAAAATGCCGGCCAAACATTGTTATGGTTATGTAAGACAACGTGACAGACAAACCAAATGCTATAATAACAAGTTGTTATTGCGTCCTTGTGATGACTACAAGCTTATCGACGCCGACCTCACCAACTAAAATCTCCGTGAGCCAGCAGTACTCAACTACGGCCATATCCCATGGGCAGTCGACCGATGAGAACATTGCATGTCCTCTGAAAAGGGTTCTTTTTACTTAGAACTCCGAAGTTCATATAAGCAGAAGTGGTATCAAATTACCTGAACTGCAACCCCGACAGCGTCAAGTAGCCGTCATTCTGCGTCGATGCCGCACGTTCGAAATACGCTGCACACGGACCAACGCCGACCGAAAACGAAGAATTTGGAAAAAACCATTCAGAGACAGTCTGCTGGCAGAAGTCATCTTGAAAAAGTAGGCAGGATCCTGCGAAGTGGACCCCCCGATATCCGGAAACATCTTACCCATTGTTGATAGAAATTCTTCGAAAAGAATAAAAAAGCATAGTCATTCAATAAGCGTGAGATTTCGGGTAATATGCAAACCTACTTGTATTATGGGTCTCCTTGAAACGCCTTCTTTATCAGCCCACATGCGATCTCTTGCCGTCATAGGATGAGCACAGGCGAAAACCTGAAAAATGACGGACACTTGCTTGAAAAGGTAAAGTAAATGACTGTTGGGGTTTTCTAACCGTGCATACAGGAAAGAATATGGAGTTTTGCGTTGAAAGAAGAGTGTGTTCAAGTGTGGGCGCGGAAAAAGGGGAAGCTTGTATAGGTGAAATAAGGGCTACATGAAATGACAATCCTATTTCGGAATTAACGAAAAGCGGATCAAGAGTTCGTGATTATCGAACGTTAGCAATGGAATCAACTAACTCTTCTCCTCCGAAAACGATGCGTAAGTCAGGCAGTGAGCTCTGATGTTGAATACTCTGGAAATCCACCAACACCTCCATCGGCCTGTATGCTTCTACAGGAGCATTCGGAGGTACTCGATTGTAAATGGAGCGTGTCATTGCCACCGCTTCCGCGATGGAGTGACTCGGTCACTGAATTGGAGCCGGAATTGTCCCTCCGTCATTCGTCTCTAAATGAGAAAAGCTCAACTTTTTTCAAAAGCCTGTTCCCCAAAACCGCTCTAGACCTCAAGCCCTAGCAAAAATATGAACAGAAGGAAACGTTGAGTAGAGCTGTTAGAAACCCAAAACTCACCGCGTTTTTGAATGCCAGTCGCTCCACTTTCACCCTATTACTATTCAATCACACTCACTGGGTAGTCAAGCAAGCCAAATTAGAAAACTGGCAGAAATGCTTTACTGGCTGATATCTATGTAGGTCCAAAAAATTTCAGAGCAAAATCGAAATGACACTGATTTTTTTCGACAAGTTTGAAAGGTCAGTCCTAAGCTACAGAACGCTTGCTGGACCTGGTCAGAGAACCTTGACCCATAACGATCGTGAGCTGTCAACACAACACTAGCTGCCCCATCTGGCTGCAACAAGTGTGGCCCCTCTGTACGATCGACTCCTCCACAATAACGTAAATGCGATTCAAAGTAATTTTTACCACTGTTTCCAAGTCGAAGGTAATCAGTTAAGTACCAACCGAGTCATATAACCCCCGAATATTATTCTTTGCAGTTCGTCACACACTTAATCAACGATCCGGTGACATCACTTCTGTAGCCGGCCGATTTCTATTTCAAACATTCATTTTGTCTGGTGGAAGCTGTAAATATTACCACTTTCTTTAGGAAATACAGGTCAAGACAAAAAAGAATACCAAAATGTCTTAGCCTCCAATACTACTTTGCAAACTCACGTCTTTAGGATGCTCAACTGGCTTTGGCAAAAATTCCTGCAGTACATGTAATGGCAAATCCGATGCAATTCTTGGCACAGTAGGATGATATGTGTAGTCAATAGTGCATGTTATGCTTTCTGTACGCCAAATCTCATGCCATTCTTCCTAAACAGTTTACAATGCGAGGTTAGGAAATAATACCAATGATGGAGTACTTTTTCAGTACACCCCTCTCATTGTGGGTGATTTTCAGATGGGAGTAATCGGAAGAGGAACATGCCCTCATACCATTCCCTATAGCTTTTTTCCTCATGAGAGTGAACGCTACCGTGTACAATAACGAATGACACATTCGCTTACCGTATTTTTTGATAACCTTCCATGAGGTGATGGAGTGCTGTACATGTTGGTGTAAGCCCCACGTGCCAACGCTGCCATTATAGGTGCTGTGGCACTGCCTGGAGGATAACGTAGACCAACGCTAGTGAGTTTTCCAAGCGAAGGGTATATGTAGTTGAGACAAGTTCCGGTAAGAAATCCTCGAACGGCATAGTGAAAGCTGCAAAAGGCTAATGAGAACGTTGCACACAATCGGAATACTCAAACTTCTCAGAAAGCCTAAAATATCGATAATATTTGAGTTTTAGCAGGGGTCCCTTTAAATTTATTTATTGTCTTTATTTATTGCTATGCTCAGTTAATCAAACCTGGGCGTGCAATCGTGCAATCATCGAGTTTCCAAGGAACAAACTCACATATATTGAAGTGACTTCCAACAATAGAAGCCTCTACATTTTCCGGATTTTTCTCAGACGGGTCCACCCAGTTAGATTCATTCAGGCAATAAAATAGCCTAAATAGCAATTTTAATGATGGTGATTATTCCAGCTTAAGCCTGCGATTGCAAAAACCACAAACGTGGCAGCGGGTGCGAAGAGCACGAGATGCATGCCTTGAATGAAAATCAAAGGAAGTAACAAACGCGAACATATCTTTGTAAAAAAATTTCAAATCTAACCTCGAAACTATCCGAAACATCAAAGTCGATGATAACTGTATAAGGTATAAACGTAACAAGGTCTGCTGCAGTGTCGCCCACAAACTCGTTTATCAGATCCTAAATAGTGGGTATGGTATGACCAGTTGTCACCAGGTTGAAGAATATTCTCCAACTAGCTGTCAGCAAATGCTATACTGTAGCTCACCGAAACGAATCGCTGGTGATCCCATACAAGCCAGCAGCAGCACTTTGTCAAACGAAACTTGAAATCCCATGTTTGTTTTGCATTGAATACCTAGAAACACTTGTTTCCTAATAGGCCATAAAATAGACAAATGACAGTGTCATTGGATGTGAACAGATGTGCGAGACAATCATTGAAAACTTAATGAAACCTCCAATGAAAAATGCATGAATACTTCTCAGCTAAATGTTTTCCTCACAATTAAAAAACGAAAACTGAAGCAAATTTACGTACAAAAAGCGAATCCCCTATAATTTGCTAATATCAGGATGCAGGAAAAAGATGCTAAAAAAGTCCCCATGGGTGCTCTTCAGAGAATACTAATCAGAACGTACCCTAGGATACTTGAATTCAGCATCAACGCTGAATGTCTCCGCTTCCAGAAGTTTACGATAAGGAAGTGAAGATGTGCTTTCCAGACGAAGAAGAGAAGTATGCATACTCCAGCTGAACCCTTCCTCTTTTGTTATCCACCAAATTGACATCTACAATAGAGCATAACACGCAGTGCTTCAAAAGTTCCAATGTTATTTTATAAATGAAGAAAAGCTTTACAACAACCAAAATCGGAGAAAAAATGTTTTTTATATGAGTCATGTCATCCAAGCAAATCCAAACCTAAGCCGGCGATGCGGGCTCGAACCCTGCGAACAGCAGATTAAGAGTCTGGTGCTCTACCGACTGGAAGCTAACCGGCCACCGCTCACGTCAACCAAACATCTGCCCATCAGTTTTGGTGACATGCTTGCTAGATAGGTTTTCAGTTACGGTTTAACCTACCTAGTTGTCTACGCACATCAATGATGACTGTCAAAATTCGTCGCAGTCACCAAATTGATGTGCGATGTTTGGTTGAAGTGAGCGTGGCCGGTCGGTTAGCTTCGTCCGTAGAGGCCACCAGACTGCTTAATCTGGCTGTCGCGGGTTCGAGCCCCGCATCGGGCTTAGGTTTTGCATTTGTTGTATGGACATGACTCCATATAAAAAACACATTTTTCTCCGATTTTGTTGTTGTGAAGCTTTTCTTTATTTATAAAATAACATTGGAACTTTTGAAGCACTGCATGTTATGCTCTATTGTATGATGTCAATTTGGTGGATAACAAAAGAGGAAGGGTTCAGCTGGAGTATGCATACTTCTCTTCTTCGACTGGAAAGCACATCCTCACTTCCTTATCGTAAACTTTTGGAAGCGGAGACATTCAGCGTTGATGCTGAATTCAAGTATCCTAGGGTACGTTCTGATTAGTATTCTCTGAAGAGCACCCATGGGGACTTTTTTAGCATCTTTTTCCTGCATCCTGATATTAGCAAATTATAGGTTGCTTTGTTACGTAAATTTTGCTTCCGTTTCGGTTTTAAATGTGAGGAAAACATTCCGTGATAGATATTCAATCATATTCTTATGAGGGTTTCATTAAGTTTCAATATGTTCGTCTCGCACCATCTGTTGCACATCCATTACACTGCCATTTTCTATTTTTATGGTCCTCATTAGGAAACAAGTGTTTCTAGGTATTCAATGCAAAACAAACATGGGATTTCAAGTTTCGTTTGACAAAGTGCTGCTGCTGGCTTGTATGGGATCACCAGCGATTCGTTTCGGTGAGCTACAGTATAGCATTTGCTGACAGCTAGTTGGAGATATATTCTTTCAAACCTGTACGCTGGTCATACCATATCCACTATTTAGGATCTGATAAACGAGTTTGTGGGCGACACTGCAGCAGACCTTGTTACGTTTATACCTTATACAGTTATCATCGACTTTGATGTTTCGGATAGTTTCGAGGTTAGATTTGAAATTTTTTTTTTACAAAGATATGTTCGCGTTTGTTACTTCCTTTGATTTTCATTCAAGGCATGCATCTCGTGCTCTTCGCACCCGCTGCCACGTTTGTGGTTTTTGCAATCGCAGGCTTAAGCTGGAATAATCACCATCATTAAAATTGCTATTTAGGCTATTTTATTGCTGAATGAATCTAACTGGGTGGACCCGTCTGAGAAAAATCCGGAAAATGTAGAGGCTTCCATTGTTGGAAGTCACTTCAATATATGTGAGTTTGTTCCCTTGAAAGTCATGATTGCACTGATTTTGCACGCCCAGTGGTTGATAACGAGCATAAGAATAATAAAGAAATAAATAAATTCTAAGGACGCCCTGCTAAAACTGCAAATATTACTCGATATTTTAGGCTTTCTGAGGAAGTTATTGAGTATTCCGATTGTGTGCAACGTTCTCATTAGCCTTTTGCAGCTTTCACTATGCCGTTCGAGGATTTCTTACCGGAACTTGTCTCAACTACATATACCCTTCGCTTGGAGAACTCACTAGCGTTGCGTCTACGTTATCCTCCAGGCAGTGCCACAGCACCTATAATGGCAGCGTTGGCACGTGGGGCTTACACCAACATGTACAGCACTCCATCACCTCATGGAAGGTTATCAAAAAATACCGGTAAGCGAATTGTCATTCGTTATTGTACACGGTAGCGTTCACTCTCATGAGGAAAAAAGCTATAGGGAATGGTATGAGGGCATGTTCCTCTTCCGATTACTCCCATCTGAAAATCACCCACAGGGAAGGGGTGTACTGAAGAAGTACTTCAGTCATTGGTATTGCTTCCTAAGCCTCGCACTGTGGTACAGCTGTTTTAGGCAAATGGCAGTGAGATTTGGCGTAAAGGCAAGCATAACCGTGGCACATTGCTACACATTATCATCGCTATTTCTGTGCAAGAATTGCATCGTGATTTGCCGTTACATGTCAACTGCAGAATTTTTGCCAAAGCCAGTTGAGCATCCTAAAGACGTGAGTTTGCAAAGTAGTATTGGAGACTGAGACATTTTGGCTTTCTTTTTTTTGTCTTGACCTGTATTTCCTAAAGAAAGTGGTAATATTTACAGCTTCCACCAGACAAAATGAATGTAAGTTAGAATCGCGGCTTATACGAGATGTTCACTGGATCGTTGATTAAGTGTGTGATCGAACTGAAGAATAACTACTTCGGGTTATATGACTCGTTGGTACTTAACTGATTACCTTCGAATTGGAAACAGTTGTAAAAATTACTTTGAATCCGCATTCACGTTATTGTGGAAGGAGTCAGTCGTACAGAGGGGCCACACTTGTTGCAGCCAGATGGGGCAGCTAGTGTTGTGTTACACTCACGATCGTTATAGGTTGAGGTTCTCTGACCACAGCAAGTGTTCTGTAGCTTAGGACTGACCGTTCACCAACTTGTCGAATAAAAATCAGGTGTCATTCGGATTGTTGGCTGCTGAAATTTTTGAGCCTACAAAGATATCAGCCAGAAAAGCATTTCTGCAGTTTTCTAATTTGGCTTGCTTGACTACCCAGTGAGTGTGATTGAATAGTAATAGGGTGAAAGTGGAGCGACCGGCATTCAAAAACGCGGTGAGTTTTGGGTTTCTAACAGCTCTACTCAACGTTTCCTTCTTTCATATTTTTGCTGCGCCTTTGAGGTCTAGAGCGGTCGTTTGGGGACAGGCTTTTTAAACGAAGGTGAGGGCTGCTTTTAGAAACGATGACGGAGTGAATTCGGTCAATTTCGAGATGAGCGGCGATGTGCACTCATCGAAGCGGTGGCAATGACACGCTCCATTTACAATCGAGTACCTCCGAATGCTCCTGTAGAAGCATACAGGCCGATGGAGGTGTTGGTGGATTTCAGAGTATTCAACATCAGAGCTCACTGCCTGACTTACGCATCGTTTTCGGAGGAGAAGAGTTAGTTGATTCCATTGCTAACGTTCGATAATCACGACCCCTTGATCCGCTTTTCCGTATTCCGAATAGGATTGTCATTTCATGTAGCCCTTATTCCATTACAAGCCTTCACCTTATTTCCCGCACACTTGAACACCTCTCTTCTTTCAGAAAACACTCATATTTTTCCTTATGCACGGTTAGAAACCCTAACAGTCATTTACTTTTACCTTTTTTCAAGCAAATTGTCCTCATTTCAAGGTTTTTGCCCCGTTTCTTTATACGGAAGAGATCGCTGTGGTGATAAAGAAGGGTTTCAAGGAGACCATAATACAAGTAGGTTGCATTTACCGAAATTCACTCTACAAATGACTATGTTTTTTATTCTTTCGAAGGTAATTACTATCAAAATGGGTAAGACTGTTTTCCGGATATCGGCGGGGTCCACTTCCGCAGGATCTGTCTACTTTTTCAAGATGATTTCTGCCAGCAGACTGTCTCTGGATGGTTTTTTCCAAATTCTTCGTTTTCGGTCGGCGTTGGTCCGTGTGCAGCGTATTTCGAACGTGCGGCATCGACGCAGAATGACGGCTACTTGACGCTGTCGGGGTTGCAGTTCAGGTAATTGATACCACTTCTGCTTATTTTTGAACTTTTATTTCTGTAAAAAGAACCCTTTTCAGAGGACATGCAATGTTCTCATCGGTCGACTGCCCATGGGATATGGCCGTAGTTGAGTACTGCTGGCTCACGGAGATTCTAGTTGGTGAGGTCGGCGGATGCTTTGGTGAGCCATCACAGGTCCGAATTAACAACTGTTATTATAGCATTTGTTTGTGTGTCACTTTTGTCTACATAACCATAACAATGTTTGGCTCATTTTTGCCTTTGCACTATTATGTTCAGCATTTGTGACCATTATGACATGTGATTTTTGCGATTATCTGCTACCGAATAAGTTTTTCAGATTATCACATTGGTGAACTTTCTGGATACATTGCTGTTACTTGTCATTGCGAAGGATGACGCAAAAATCGTCCCAGACAGGTTCAAGTTTTGTCAGCATGGGCAAACAAGTATGGAAACAAAGCCAAAAAAAAAAAAGTGTGCTCAGTAGGGATCTCCAGCGCCTGGTGCGTCCATGCGATCGAAGAAAGGTCGTGATGTTCTCCATAACGTTCTAAAGAAGGAGTTGCAACTCTCCCTATGAAAGATGGAATATTCAGTGGTGAAGTTATCGTCAGATGCGATTTCTGTAAGATTGGTTGGCAGCTGCTTCTAACACGATGCGAGCATGTTATGCACGGTAAGTCCATAATAGAGGCTCAACGGGTGTGTGATGCCGTTTTTAGTAAGCAATCTGCCGGTAAAGTGCAAAAAATGATGTTTTTTAGCTCACGTTGATCCGATCCCGGTTCACGGCCTTTGGGCAATGCCTCATGAGGAAGAGATTCCCTGAGCACGATCTGTGTATCGAATTACCCGCAAAGTGAAGGCCTCCATGTATGAATTGTTTACAGAGAGCTTCCTTTCTGGGAGCCTAAGAGAACCTTGAAGCAATTTGTATCTTTTCCAGTGTTCCACCCAGCTGACAGTCCCACTTGGATTGAATGTGCACGCGCGAGTATTTCTGGAGTCTCGCTTGATGTTGAGGTCAGCTTTATCACACTTACATAACTTTCTCCTCGCAAAATAGGCAAAGCTAGTGGCCAGTGTTTTTATTTCATTGAACGACTTGAGCAGTGCCCCTTGCCAATCTATTGTCACTTTCATAGAGGGTTAACGGGAGCGAATTTTTGAGTTTCCCTCTTTCTTCCTTGGTTTATTGGGGCAAGAGAGCCTGTTATTCTGAATAACTAATTTCACCCCATTTCCCACCAGACTCTGCAGCCGAGTACCTTTTTCATTCCACAGTATTTTCGCCAAACCAAATTCGACGGTATTATTTTGCAAAATCGGGGTTCGATCCGACTTTAATATTCTTCAGCTGCACATCCAACTTCGTCTGGCCATTAGACCTCAGATGCGACAGCGGAGTTCATTCAAAGCATGACAAAGAAACGAAACGTCTCCATTTCTTATGGGATGCAACTACGACGGTATGGAGCTGTGCTTGCTATGGAGATACAGCTTTTATAACCAAAGACGATCCACTGTGGGTTCTTTCATTTCGGATACCCGCTCTGATGATAAATGTGTTAGGCATCATCTTTCCATTTTAGGGGTCAGTACTTTTTAATTCACTTGGATCAAAAATTGTGTGTACATTCAATGAACCAGACGCCTGGTGGACAGCCGGGCGTATTTCAGAATATAGTATATCCCGAGAAAAAGTGAGTCAATTTTTTACTGAGGTCTTTCTGTGAAGTTATATAGACTTAAATAACTTTGCAGGCTTTTCCGGGAAGAGTTACGGCAATATTTTGCGCCATCACGAAAGACAAGTACTCAGACAGCAAGTGAAGTACCATCTATGGAAACAGCATCGTTCCATTCAGCAATGTCGAAAACTATTCCGGTAAGCTCAGAGCAAACTGCTAATTATTTTCTGTAAACATGAAGACTCTATTTCGAGGAATCTGTAGGTTTTTTGGAGGTTTGCCGACCTTGAAATGCTGCAACTCTATAGTCGCATGCTCACTTCTTTGAGCCATTCTAAAACAGTCCTCTATTCACTGCTCCAATCGCTATATGTGTCTTTGTTCAAGATCTGTACACTTTACTTTCAGTTAGAGAAATGCTTGTTATCTGTACGTCCTTTGACCGATGCCTATGGCGAATATCTTAATCACTTCAATGTCGCCAGTAGAGCAAGTAAGGTCAAACATTCTTCCGCAAAATTTCCCTTTTGTTGTTGTTATACGTTACTTTTGCGCCTTTGCAGAATGCGGCGAAGCAGCCTGCAAGTTCGGAGCACCTGGAGAGGTCGCTCAGTGGGTTGATGCGAGGACTTTCAATGTATTTCAGGTATTTAGTTTTTTTTTTCGATTTTTTGTAATGCAAATCGAAGTGGAACTCTTATTTTCCCAATTTCCTTTCTGAGAGCATTGGTTTCTCCGAACCCTAGCCTTCACTCGTACCGACACCTAAAATTGGCGAATTTAAGGCCTTACGCCGGCCTAAATGAGCCTTGTTGACCATTCCTGCTGAGAATGAGTAGTATATTTTCATAATCTCAGATTTTGGGTGAATTGGATTGAGGAATGGTTTTGGGAACAAAAGTGCTCAATTTTCTTCAAACTATTTTGCGAAAGGTCAAGGGGAAGCGTATGAAGTGAACTTCCAGTATATGTGTCACTATTTACCATTTACTGTCCCATCTTCATCCCGAAGTGGATTCATCTCAAAATTTTTTTTGCTGTGAAGTTGAAGGCAAAAAGCTACGCCATCGATCATAGTTAGAGCGAAGGACACAAATATAGTTGTAAAAAATTGTATGCGGGCCGCCTGGCGCCCGCACTTAAAGCGCTGCCGCTGAACGGTGCCAAGACAACCTAGATCATCAAAGTTGCTGAAAACTTGCCATAAGGGGTACCTTGACTCAGAGAATACAAATGTCTTACCGTGCCGCGAAATTGTTTGTTGTTAGAACATTCCCCACAGGCGCCGCGCCAAATAGATGTGATAACGCTAGCGCTTCTAGCGCGGGCGCCAAGCGCCCTAACACTGAGTGGGTGGAGTCCGTGTTCTAATGATCAAGATTGCCGGACGTGCTCGAGCGAATTGTTGCGAATCATCAACCGAAGAGACTAATTTCGAGAAAAGTTTTTGTGCGTCTTTCTTCTGGGAAGTGGGGCAGTCGAAGGATAACATTAATGTCGGGCTTCTGTCTCTTTAAAACGAATTTCAGGCACAAGAAGGCATATCCTCAGTTCATCTCACTCTGTTAGCTGCTACTGCAGTTAAGGGTTCCCAAAAAGCTCAACCGATAATGGAGCCTCTTTCGGGCGAGGCAGTCTTTGAACCTCAAGCCATGGATGTTCAACCGAAAACGCAAGACCGAAAATTTGTTATTAATGGCTCAGTTGGAAGCACAATGGAGGTGAGCGTCATTTTTCCAAGGGTAGCTTTGTTTTCTTTATATTTGCAGAAAGTTTTCGTTTTGTACATTTGATTCGAGGATTGGCTTGATGCGGGGAGTTCAATATTCTGTGTTAGTGTGTAAAATTAAAGATAAAGGGTTTCGTATTTCCAGTTAGCGGAGCATTTGGGGTGGGGGCAGTTTTCGGCAGTTCCCAGAAAGCTACGGTAACTCTGAGCCAGGGGAGTGTAGGCAGTCTAGGAAGGTGGGGAGGGGGAGGGGGTAAGGCGAGTTCACTTGACATCAGGGTCAAGCGAGGCGTCGAGGAAAATTCGGAAATACGACCCCCCCCCCCTCCTCTGCCGAAGGCCCGAAGTCCATGAAACAACCCTCTTTAAAAGCCGAACTATGAAAAAGTTGTTTAATTCTCCACCAAAACTGCTCATAAAAAAGCCCTGCTACCCCATCGTCCACAAAAAAACTCGTTTAAAAAGTATAAAAGTGAAAAAGTCAAAGAATGATCATTAATGACGAGTCCTGTCAAACGAGCAAACGAGAAACGGAGCAAAAAACGTCAAACTAGTCACTAGAAATGGCGTACTATGACAACACCTCTTCTTTGTTTATTTCCTCCACAAGACTTACCAAATTCTAGTACTACACAGATTATGGTTCTCAATTTACACGTCCCCCTTTCGCTCAAAGGAAGCCTTGTAAAAGCCTTCGCCAGCTGTGTGTTGACTGGACTTTGGCGTTGACCGTGGAGCAGCTTATTTACTATTGAAATTTGAACAAATATTCAAATGATTATAACTTTCTTCAAAGTTAACGAATTTTCAATCTGAAAGCTGATTTGGGAGTTTTGTGAAGAGCTTTTTCTAATCAGTACTGAAATTACAGGAAGTTAAGAAATAACAAATTTAGATCAAATAACGAGGAAAATTCGAGACGAGCACGAGTTTTTACACTTTCCGGAGCAATAACTTGCTTCATTTCCGTCAAATTCAAAAAGTTGATACGTCATACAAAACTAGAAGATTTTCTCTATCAAACGGTCGCTAAAGCAGCTTCATACGTCCAGTACTCAAAAAATGGCCACGTTGAGGATTTTTGCAAAATTAACGAGGAAAATTCGTGATGAGTGCGAGTTTTTACGCTTTCCAAAGCCATAACTCCGTTCAAACTCATGCAATCTGGAAAGTTAATACGTCATCATAAACTAGAAGATTTGCTCTTTCTAGAGGCAACTAAAACTGCTAAATACGTTCACTATTTAAAAAATGGCCACGTTGAGGATTTTTGCCCGAGTACCGCCGAAAGGTACTTTTTCGCTACATTAGCACTATCCCAACGACTATAGCTCCTTGCAGGAGCGATTACATACTGAAGTAGGAGCAGATTCAAAATCCTCGTGCTTTTCTCTCTGCAAAAAGTGTAAAATTGTTTAGCGGGTCTCAACTTTAAAGGTTACATGCTTGTGAATTTGACGCTGAAGGCTGCGTTTCTTGTTGAATAGTGTACTCCTCTCTGTAATTTAACATGAACTCTTTCAGAACCCTCTTGATTCTTCCTGAATTAAGATTCGTTATCAAGATAGCCGTAGCTGAAGCGCGCAACCAACTGGGCCCACTCTGGGATGCGCCGTGTGCTTCACATCTCGTTGGATTTGAGGACCTACTTGAAAGATAAAATATCCCTAGAAAACGTGCGAATTTCGGATCCTTTGACTTGTGTGGTGATGAAACACTAAAGTCACTAAGAATTGCTAAGCGGACACCTCTAAATCACGAAGATTTTGTGTGGACGGAATCAATTGTTATTGGAAATACTCTGGCCTGGTATCGATTCGATCCTTAATGTTTGTCCTCCGACGATGATCCTACTGTATCAATCGGGCCCGATCTCTCCCCAGCGGGCCAATACGACCCCCCCCCTCTGTGACATGTCGAGGATTCCTCAACGCACGCTTGACCCTGCTTGCATGCGTAAAAAGCAATAATCTTCGAGTTTACAATAGCTCGCCGAAGAAACTGCATCACGATTCCCCCTAACTGCAATAGACCCATAAAGAGTGATCTCTTTATCTCTGAGTATGGTCTAGTATTTTGTCGGATGTGATTGATACCAGGATCAACAGGAATGTTCAAATAGACCTCATCTCGTAAGGTGAGAGAGCGAGGGAATAGGGTAGCCGTCCACACAACTTCAGGAGAATTGTTTCTATGTCAAGATAACTGTATTATATATCTTATGCATTTCTAACAACTTAGTCCTTGACAAAATTTTCTCATAGGTAGACATTATATAGA